CTTCTATTATATTATATTATAGAATTTCATTTACATTTGCAAAGGTTATATTACGTAAGAGTTTATTACATCCAGTGCCCACTCTAACACATTTTAAAAATTCTTTAAACTGTTTACAATAGAAGAGTAAAGAATTTTTAAAATGAGTTAGATTGGTCACTCGGCGTGATAAACCCTTACATAAGATAACCTTTGTAGTTATATAAATCAAATACTATAATATAGCAAACATTAAAATGAAAACCATATATAAGTTTGGTTATTTTAACCTAACATTATCACATTTATCGAGATATTCAGATAGTACGAAATGGCACAATTTCATTGGTAATTAAAAATATTTGTAAGTAGACAGTAATTAAAAATATGATATATTAAATTTTTAGGATATAATATTTTTTCTAATGTTAGCTCTAACAAACTGTTCCTTTCATAGCTAAATAACAAATAGTATCTGCCAACAAATCAAATTTCGCAAAAATTGGACCAAATATTGAAACTTGGCACCCTCGTAAACCAGTTAAAACATGTTTTGTGTTTGCCAGTAACCTCATATTATGTAATTTTCCTACTCGAATGCCACCAAACTGCTGGTCCGACAGAAAGAAGGTACTGTCGTGGAAGGGGAGTGAAGTAATTCGACCAAAAGTAATAGTTGACCTCTCTTCCAGTCAATAATATGATGGTCAATAAATACTAATTACTATTAATACTTGAAAAGTGATGCATGTTGGATAGGTTCTGATGACCCTGCACGTGATCGAAGTTGCAATCTTAATGTCCAAAAGACTTGATATAAGACTTGTTTAAATAAAAATAATATTACAATATCTTCTATTCTGAATACCGGTATTTTGAACAATCTCATACTCACTCGTTTAACCTTTACTTTCTGGTACTGCTTAAACTTTGTAAAACAAATGTTTTTGGCCTCACTTGAAGTCTGCTTCAGGTTACAAGAAAAAACAGGTTTCCAATCTTAGAATGATTCTTGAAGGAATATTGAGTTTTTAAATAAATTTGAACATAAGCACATGCTATATAGCATTGGCAATTTCTTGTTCTTCACATATGTAGCGCCAATGGAATGCTTCGTGGAGCCGATGGAGGCAAGAAATGGTGTACATCGGCTCCACGAAGCGTTCCATCCAACAGAGAATCAGGGAGCACAAATATGACATAGACCATGCTCATTACACCACCGCCCTATCCATCTATGCCTCCGACCCAGATGTTTATGCAGAACTATCCAACGCCAGATTGATTAATAGAACCTTTCACACTGACCACATCAGGACTGGCTGGACAGGGAGATGTATAAACACTAAAGATGGCAATGTGCTTTCATATGCTTGGCGCTATGTATGCAAAGAACAAGAAATTGCAGATGCTACGTAGGGCATGCATATGTTCAAATTTATTTAAAAACTCAATGTTCCTTCAAGAATCATTCTAAGATTGGAAACTGGTTGTTTCTTGTAACCTGAAGCAGACCTCGAGTGAGGCTGAAAACGTTTGTTTTACGATGTTTAAGCAGTACTGGAAAGTAAAGGTTAAATAAGTGAGTACGAAAAATAATATTGTACAAGCGCAAGAATAATTGCTTTTATGTGATCCATAAATACAAAAACAAAAACCAACAACAACAAAAAAAAAAAAAACTGGTGAAACCAGGTTGAAAAAGTAAAGCTTAGCAAAAACATCTAAATAAAGGAACTTTTGAAAGTTGTGGCATAAGCATGCTGGAAGCAGATTTGACAGTAAGACTCAATATGTGAATAAAGTGCACATTACACAGACTACACCTACAGGAAATTTTGAATGAAGCAATGTTGCCATGATAATAAATAGGAAAAATAAACATTGGCACAGAAAAAACTTCCAGCTCTACTTTGTGCCTTAAAATTGTTGCATGTATATTAATTTGGCTGAACATTAGAATATCTTTAAGCAGTATGAGTTAATAATGGAAGATGAAATCAGGGAAGGGGGTGGGATGTCCAGATTTCATGTTAGGTATGTACTCATAAATATTACATTTATAGAAAAATTATTAGAATTAGTTTGGTTTATTTGGTTATGACAAATCTGCCGAGAAGGATGCATCCCACGAAGAAAGCTGGCTTTTTATGTAAAGCTGGCCTCTATTTAGGTACTACTAATGTAAAGAAAACCCAGAAAATTCCACATGGCCAGTGGACTGGCCATATGGAATACGAACCACTGAACAACCGATTACCGGTGTTCAGTGGTTTTATTCACTCTGTTACTGGAGAGAACACATTGAGCTGCAATTTGAAAAAATTGTAGACCTATAAATTCCTATTGTCGTCCATCCGTCTCTGTCCTTCCTTAATCTCGATAATGGAGTTAGATGGATGAAAGTTGAGATCGGTCATGGAAATTTTAAGAGAAAGAGAACAGATATAATATATATGAACTTCCAATTTGTACCGTGGGTCACATTATTTCAATTCAAAAATTTTCCCCCAAATGGAGTTAGATACATAACTGGCACAATTCTTACTAAAAAGAAAAGTATGACATACAGGAGTAAAACACTACTATGCTACACACAGGCAAGTGCTGTGTGCTACCTGTCGCAGTAATGGTGTATCTATTTTGTACTATATCATTATTGCAGTAAGTCAATCTGCATCAAAATCTTCATTTGAAAATTCTAAATTATTTGAACAGTTAATAGAATAAAATATAGAGCATGTATCTTCAAACTATTCTTATCTTTTAATTATAATAAATTTAATTTCATAAACTTTCAAAATCTTTTAGTATTTTGATGCAATAATACCATTAAAAAATATGTTGATTGTCAGCAAACATTATCCTCCTAGATTTATCACAATAATTAATAATGAAATTATAATTAAATCTTTATAAAACAATAGTTTTGTTTATGAGACTTTCTCAATGGAATTAATAATTATGTTAATGTAAATTATAAATCTGTAACTATTTGCTTTGGCTAGTTCTTAAAGCTAGTTCTTAGCTTTTATGATCTAGATCATAAAAGCTAAGCAGCTTACGACCCAGACAATACTTTAATCAGATACAATGCTATCTGAATTATTGGTATATTGGGAGTTTTGGGTACCATCAGAGCTCTGTAGCTCTGGCTGTTCCCTAATCTGAATAAAGATAGAGGATTGGTGGCAGGAAGAGAATCCAGCTTGTAAGATATAGTTAAACCTGAGTGTCTTCTGTGTAAGGAATGATCTTGTTTTGAATAATAATAATAATAATAATTAAAAACATTTAAAATGTCTTAAATCTGGTTTAAATCAAATGATAAAATAATACAAAGTACAGCAGAATTTTATTTTAATGGATTGTGGAACAATGGATTCCTCAGAATAACGGATCTTTTTCCAGGTCTTGCTAAATCAATGTAACTTTACCTTGCTTCAGCGGATCTGTAACTTAGAATAACAAATTTTTTTTTCTAGCCCCATCTACTGTATGTGTTTTTTCAACGTTTAGTTAACATTTGGGTATTTTCAAAAATTTGTAGAGTTTGATGATGCACTTGTTACATCTGGAATATGTACAATTGAAGAGAGAGGAGGAATCACTTAGCCAACATTCTGACTCCGGTCCAAGTGTAGTGCTGAAATTTAGTGAGACCGTCGAGCCTTTCCAAGTCATGAAGACCTTCCCAACAAAATTCTTCTAATATCAAGCAGTTGTTGTAGTCAATAGGCAGAAAAGCTGCATCAAAACAAATCAAGATGGATGAGTTTTTTTTAACAAATTGCAAAGTCAAGTGAAGTAATAATGAGCATACGAAATTTGCCTCTTTCTTTGCTTAGAAAATATCCAAGATTTCAACCTCGAGAATGAACTAGGACCTCAGAATGTTAAGCTAATGCCTTACAATATTAAAGTCGTATAACAATCAGTGAAGTCTTTGTTAAGTTCAACCCCACTCGAGATACGACACATGACCCCATCCATCTCCCCACCCCTTGATCTTTGCTACCAAAATTTAATAGCACTAATACTCTTATAAGCAATCCTCTATACAAAATTTCAGAAATTTTCGACAAAAGGCAAAAGGGTTATTAAGCTTGAGAGTGAGTGAACAAAATTATGCCCCACACACACTAACATCTATACAATACATTACAAGGTTCAAAGTCCAAAAATCATCACGCTTTTCCTCTATTATACATAACAGGCGGAAGAGTAATTAATACAAACAATTTTGGAATGAAAGAAATTCTTTGGCTTATGATTCTCCTATATCCTAGAATAGGGGTGGCGAACCTATGGCACGCGTGCCCAAAGTGGCACGTAAGGAGAAATCATCTGGCACATAACTTATCGTAGGATTTTGATTTATCGTTTGTCTTTTTCAATCATTGTTTCATTTATTCTAATTAAAGCATTTTCGTTTAATTTATTTAAATATCATTATTCGAAGTTTAAAACTTTGGCACGCATAAACATCTTTAAAGCTAAGTATGCTTACAGTATGGCATGCGGGCTCAAAAAGGTTCGCCACCCCTGTCCTAGAATATCCCAAGCATAATTCAGTGATTTTTCTGGCCTGTTTATCTTATGAACATTTTAACACTTAAGGGATTTATATAATATAAATAATAATTAATATTTTTGCAATTTAATTACAATATTAAGATATCNTCAATAGGCAGAAAAGCTGCATCAAAACAAATCAAGATGGATGAGTTTTTTTTAACAAATTGCAAAGTCAAGTGAAGTAATAATGAGCATACGAAATTTGCCTCTTTCTTTGCTTATGGTATATACAGTTTCTGTCAGCTTTGTCGTACTTACATCACATAATATACAATCTTGTAACATATGTATTTCTACAGAATAAAAGCTAGAGATCTCAACAGACTGAATAATTTTCAAGCACAGATAATTATTATAAGTAGAGGGTTAAAAAAAATTTCTTTAAGTAATGGATATTTTCCCAGGTGTGTGGGAAATTTGTTGTTTACTACAGAACATATTCTCAGAACAATAAATGATTTTCAGTGGTTCGAGCGATCCATAGTTAATAGGAGAATCTACTGTATAGTACTGTGTAGTACAAAAAGTAATTTTTTTCTAAATGTAAATATTAAACTATATTCATTTGTAAGTACATTTCCACAATGAGCATTTTATTTGTAAATAATTATGTACGCATGTATGTAATGGAGTGTTTGAGTATAGCTTGTTTCATGAATCGTAGATGGGCTGTTAAAATGCACATTAGTAGCTATTTATTTAGTGAAGGGAATAAATTATTGATAAATCTTTGATAAGGTCGTTACCAAAAAGGGTCTCTTGAAAACTTCTGGAGCCCAATCGAATACTGCATGTTGCCTGGCCAAGTTATATGAAACGATCTATAATTGTTTAAACAATATTAATCAATATTAAAATTAAATTAGTATGGAATAAAGATTTGTATATTTTTGCTGTCTTTCTTATTAAGTTCTTATTAAATAGTACTTTCGGATTTTTGTGAGGCTGTACTGGAGCTTTAAATTTATATTATTGCCATTGTTTAAAGTTACAAATTAATTATAAAAATGCTGCTATATTGACAAAAAATAAAAACTGAAAGATGAACCTAGCATATAATTTATGTAAGCTAATATTATTGCTGAATTAATTAAATTGTATACTAGAGTCCACCCTAAATGTTACCCAAAGTAGTATTGCCTTATCTCATCAAACTAATCACCAGTTGCTTTTTCAAATGCAACAATTGGTAAGAACAGTTTAGTGCTTAACATACATTTCAAAGCCCATGCAAATAGTCATCAATGAAAATTCCTGAACTTTCTAACCAGAATAAAAATATAAAGCAAAAACTCACCTTAACTGTATAAATATGATACAGAAAAAATACAATATGATAATAGTAATGCACTCTTCTGTTTGGGATATATGGAAGATATGTTATCATAGCTATAAATAAATGCTGCCGTTCAAACCGAGTAACTAAAGGAGAGTGAACATAAGATATACAGTGATCAAATAACTAACACTACTTAACTTTCAAACCAATGAGGAAAAAGTGATGACACTTTGGAATTCTCTATTGGAGGTTATATATTCAGAATGAAAAAATGTTTCAACTTATGTAATTTGTTACAGAACACATAAAATGTAAGATAAAACAGATGTGTAGAGTCGTATATTCATTTGCATATGTTTAGTGACTTTTTGTTTTGAGATTTAAGTTATTAAATATTTGGTATGTTATGTCCATTTATAAGTATGATTGACATGATAACAAATATATAATATAAATGATTGCTTTGTCTACTCATAAAATGTTTCAGTTATAAAGCAGAAATGGATGGATAAAAAAAATGAAACTTGATTTAAATTATCTTTGTAAGACTATTACATAATAAATTATATTCATTTAAAATAGTCATAGACAACTGTATCTCTAACTTCACAAATGTTCTAAAAAAGTATACACTTCTTATGTTAGAGGATGCAAATATTGTAATGTTTGTTATTTAATTTAACTTGTAATTAGAGCAAGTCAAGAACTCCAGAAATTTTCTGATGGGGTGGGTCTGTCCAGGAGATGTCAGACCTCATTCTCACTATCCAGCAACCCCATTGTAGGCCTGGTCAATCCACAATGGGCTTGCAAAAAAGAAAAAAAAAGCTCTCTTAGTGCTCAAAGGATGGAAAGAAAAAGCATTTATATGTATTTGGAAGAATATTCTATTTATTTAATATTAGTAGTAATAACAATAATGATCATTATCACTAATAATTACAGGAAAATGTTCCTTATTCTTGACTCATGATTTTCAAGTAAATTTTCAAATTTTTCTCATAATTATTGATTAGAAAATTACAAAGTAGATATTTTAAGTATATTATAATGAAAGATTTGAATCCAATTGGATTTTCATAGCACTTCATTTATTTCCTTCATTGTAGATTAAATTCATCTATAATGAGTAAAACTGATAATATATATAATGTCTCTACCATAATAAGTTTCAATCCAATGCATATTTAGTTTCAATACAAAAAGAACAATTTGAAATTATAGAATTATACTATGACATAAATTTTTAAATTATCAAGTATTACCTTCAGAGAATCGGGAGAGACTTCATTTTTCTCCTCTTTAATATTTAATTTTTCATCCTATAAAACGAATGAAAATTTTTAAATATACATAAAATAAATGTAAAAATTCAAAGATATTTTACAAAAATATAGAGAGATGCTTTTATTGAGGATAAATTAAATCATCCATATTCAAAGCTGTCTACAGACATATTTTGCCATCCAAAAGCAACCAAGTCTGGTCTGATGATATTTCAGGTTGTGAAAAACATTTATTTGGAGAAAAAAATTAGTACAAAAGCTTGTCACTATGGAACTTTTGGTGCTGAAAGCTAAAAAAAAAAAAAAAAACAGTTTTATTTGTGGAGACACTTAAAAACTACAGTTTATCACAGACATGTTGCAAATTTGGTAGCCTTAAAAGACAGTATCACCTTGTGCCTGGAAGCATCATAGAGAAGTCGGCTTTGAACACACTGTTCATTGCCCTTAGACAATTTTGAAAATGTAAAACCTTTGACTACTGTGAGTAGTATCGCCATCACCCAAGATTTCTGCTCAGTATGTCTTGTACTGTACAAACTAAGCTTATTTTATATCAGAAACATTTACTGATGAAAGAATAGAGGATAAAGATTCCATAGAATGTATAATCTGTTTAGTATAAGCCCAGAATTTTTAGTACACAGTTATATCGTGTCTTTTCTTTGTCTCCTGATAAGTGTTATATAATGAGGGGCTACTGTACTGATGTCAGAAATTAGAATAATTATTATTAAATTTAGCATGTAAATTCACTTTCATTTCTGAAATTATATTTTTCCAGTTGTTATTATAAAATTTAAAAGGACTTAGCACATCTACATATTTAAAAATTGATACGTAATATATATTATAACTTTTCTCTTTATGATAAACAATAATCTTAAAGTCCGACAACTGGATGGTCAAGACAACAAGACCAATCCACTGCTCTGGAAGATCTAGGATTGAATCTGGACAAAATGGGAATCTGTCCCAAATATGTTGGGCCCCATCTCTCACTACCCAGCAGCTCCATTGTGCAACTGGCCAAATCCGCAATAGATATGTAAAAATGACCTCTTAGTGCCCACAGGGTGGAAAGAGAGGGGAGAATATATCATAAAATAAAAACTAATGTCTGAAATTTATTCATAAAAATAAAATCAATTATACTTAAAAATAACTGTAAAAATTTTTTTCATTATACCTTTTGCTTAGTTATAGAATCAATTGGATCTTCTGTATTCCAAACTGATATTTCTCCATTTTCTCCACCAGTAACAAAATTATTCTGAAATGCATTAGGGTATGTTAAATTTTGTTATAAGAAATTTTAAAGACCTTGAACCACACCTTCTATTTACAGGAAATATTATTTTATTTATTAACTTACAGCATCATTCCAAACACAAGTCCTAATGACTACTTCCTTCTCCCCCTGTAAGGTTGCCAGAAGTTCACATTTATCTTCGCATAGTTTCCATAAGCTACTTAAACCACTGAAATTATAACTTGTAATGAAGTAATTCTATCTTTAATTCAATAAATTTTCTTTAAAAATTAATTTTATTTAATGTACAGACTTAATAGATCTATGAATTTAATTACAGTTGATTCCCCCTATAACACTGTTGATAATTTCATTTTATATGAATTCCATGTTGTACAAGTCACTTAATTTTACAAATATGTGTGCAGGACTATGAACGACTCACGTATTTGTAAAATCTAAGTGACTCGTACAACATGGAATTCATATAAAACGGAATTATCAACAGTGTGATAGGGGGGTCGACTGTATATTTAAATATTTTCATAACTAAAAAGCTTGATGTTCGTATTGCACTAATTAAAAACAATAAAGTGAGAAAGATGTGACAGATTTAACTCAATACTAACAATACAGTTAAGTGTAAAACACACATTAATGAGGACAATATGCACATCATCCCAGTACTGACATATTCCCTTGGAGTTGTACATTGAACACACACAGAACTAGAACACTTCAAAGAGAAACACAAACAACACTGACAAAGCTTAACAAACACCAACTTAAGTAGTCCATAGGAAGGCCAACTCTTCCTCATAAAGAGAGAAAACGTCGCATCACAGATATAGTAAATCTTCACTATAAACATGGACATTACAAGAGTTTTTCTACAGAAAACATGAATCATTACAACAATACAAAACAGTAACTCTTGCAGATAAAAACAGTACACTTACTAAACATACACAACACTGACCTGGATCTAACACAGTATACAAAATGCATAGACTTAGGCTCGGAAAGAGCTCTAAAGTAGGCACCCTAATGATCTCGACTGAGATCATGACAGAACAGCATCAAATTGCTGACTGACTGAAGAATGCTTTCGAAGAGACAAAAAGGTTTATGATTGTCATATAAGACCAGGTCATAAATACAAGAAACTACAGAAAATACATTTGATTGTCTAGAAACATTATAGTTTTACAACAGCACACGAATTACAAAAAGCTGCTATAGTAAACACGTTCTATAGTCAGGAATTTGTAAACATAGCATTCACAAATAGCCTATGAACAAAGTAACAGTTTTTCCTATAGCTATATCTTGACCTTGATTTGATATAGCACTAGGCACAATCATAAACCAAGAAAGATAAATTCCATCAGCACCACAACAATAATAAATTAATAACAAAATACAGCACATTACTCAAGTAATTTGTCTATAAATATTCAATTACTTTATATAATAGTAAAAATAATTTACCTGTAATTTCCAGACACCAATTGCATGTTGGAATCAAATTTAATAATGTCAATAAGATAATCCACATTTACCTAAAATTAAGAAACAGATATTGTAATTAAATAAATTTGGTTGAATAATTCTTGTTTAATCTATTACGATGAAATAGAAGTCGGGTAGTTATAACAGTTTGGACAAGCAAGATGGGACCAGAGTTGCATCCCACTTGTCCGACCAACCCCGAACAATAACATATTCAAATCTCATGACCACCCGTAGGTAAAACCTGTTCAGATACCTGGTCGTTAGGATGTTTTTGCACGTGCAAAAACAACCGACCCAACAAAACATATATATGTAATTTAAATCCTAAAAATATTTAAATATAATTTTCTTTAAAAACTTAAGTTACTGATTGCTTGATTAATTGGTATGTCAATATATTACCAGCACACATGGCTGGCCTTAACTTTTCCCATTACGAATGAGTATGATTCAAAATGGCTCGTTACAAATGACTCGGCATCAGTGAGAAGTGAGGGATGAAAAACAATGTCCTAACCCATAATTTCCATAATAAATTGTGAATTGACATTTGTCAGACTTCAAGCTCCTTGATTTATAATCATTGGGGCACCCAAAAAGTATTATCTATGTTGAGTCAGTTCCTAATGTGTGGACATTAGAGTAATGTGTGAATACTGTGACATGTAACTGCTTGCATTGAATCTATGGACTACAGTAAGTATTTACTGTGACTCTGCCTGAGATACATATGCCATACTGTTGTGCAACATTACATCCTGTGTGAGAAGTTTGTGATGCCTGATGATGTAATTTCAATACTAGTGCATTTCTGGACGTATGTTAACCAATGTTAGGAATCCACTCCTTAAGTTTGTTCCCACCCTATATGTGTCTTCTAAAAGATTATATCATTTATTTTTATAATACATTAATCCCTCTATTCATGTGAGTAATTGATTCCATGAAAACTGCACATAAATGGAGCCATAAATTATATATATATAAATGCTGCATATAAATTTTTTCAACTGCGTTAAAGTGAATTTCCGGTTCGCATAAATGGCGAGATTATTGTATATTATTATTAAAATAAAATATTTCACAATATAATATGATGAGAATAATGCTTAAATGTAATCATAAAAGCAGATTATGTAATTGTTTTGAGACTATTTTGATAGTTTTAATTATTCCTTAAATTAATATTCTCATTTTCCTTCATGCAATTTTGATAAATCATTACTTAATGTTTCAATAATTACAACTGCTTTTGCAAGTGTTCAAATTAAGGATAATCAAACTTAACTATCAGGAAAGAACTTTTCTGTTTAATTATATAAATAGTGCATAATTTGAACTAAATGTAGGTGGTTAAACTGCTATCTTTTATTAAATTTAATACCAGTAATTAGAAATTAGTAAATTAATTTAGGATATTCTGGAAGAAAAGATTGATCTGGAGAGGAATTCAAACCCATAACTTCTGCTTACCATAGATATGAGTTGTAAATTACATTAACTGAATCTGTTCAATCTTCGCTTCCAGACCAATTAATTTATAAAACGTGACCATACTACTAGAACAAACATACAAACTGGGACAATCATATGCCACAGAACTCTTTGGCATTCAGTTGATTTAAGTCTTATCCCATTCATATTTTATAAATTTAATAATTAGAAATACAGTCATTGCAGCAAATGACCTGTATGATTATAATACAGCGGTTGATTTGGAAGTGAAGAGCCGGTGGAAATCCAGGTAGTATCTATATAGATCATTGACAACATACCTCTATGATAAGTAGAAGTTGCAAGTTTCAGTCCCACTCTAAATCAATCTTTTCTCTGAGAACAGTTTAAATTAATTAATTTATTTCTAATTATTAAATTCAAAATAAGATGGCAGTATAACTACCTTTATTCAGACTAAATTACGGAATATCTGTTTAATCAATTAACCAAGTTCAAACTGGATAGTTAATCTACTTCTATCATTAAATTATTAATAACTTTAAATAGATTTAATACTTTTAAAACTTAATACAACGAGATAAATATATAAATGATAACAATTACTCACTCCATCGTGTAATTCAGTTAATTTTTCCCTTGTGTAATTTAAACACGGAGAAGTCTATCAAGCAAAAAGAAAGAAAAGTTTAATTACTGAATAAAACTACAATTATAGAAACAAGTCTCTAATAGAATTTACATTACAGTCTCCAATACAATTACAACAGACAAGGATTAAGCATAGCAAACAATGATTTAACTTATGACTTAGGCTAGATCTCACTTCTGTAATTAGCTCAAAGAGATTTTAGAAAATATATATTAAAATTTAATTTTTACATCACTGATATTCCAGACTTGAAGATCCTGGTTACTTGTAATGCATGCAAATTTCTTTGATTGGGGAAACCAGTCGAGTTTGTACTGAAAATAATGATAAAAAATATAAACAGAGATAGTAAATTAAGTTTATAATGTCGTAAATTTGTATTATATTTTGATTTTTCTATATCTACATATATAAAATTTAAAGTTTGTGGCCATATGTTCAAAGTTGTTTACTCACTTCAGAGTCCAAAACACTCAAAATTATACATTTTGGTGACTTTTAGATCAAAGAAAAAAGCTGATACCTCAATTTTACCAAATAGAGTCAATCTGCGTTTTAAATCATAAGGATAATTTATAAAATATAGTGCCGTGTATCATTGATTTATAATCAAGAAATATGTTATTAAAGTATAATTTTATTGTTGGTTTATATTACTTAAATCTCAATCTAGACATTTCTTGCAAGTCTTGCACTGGAAGATCACACAGCAAAGTACGTTACCTTAGACTTAATGAACATTTTAGAAGATATACAGGGAATTTTTTATGAGCCTTTAGAATTAAACCTGCATTGACACCCTCAATTTTGTACATTATTGGATATTATTCTAAAATTATATTGCAAACAGGTAGGAATAAAATATGATCCACTTCACATTACAAAAGTTTGAGCTAGATTTGAATATACATCTCTTATAATATTAAAAAATTCCTTAATGTGCAATTGTTCAAACACCTGCCACTACATTGAATATAGTTACAAATGATGCGAGTTGATTCTAATGATTAAAAAATCATAACACGAGAACATAAAATTAATGAAATGACAAAAACAATTGGCTAAAATGGTTAAAGCATCAACCTATCATTCTGGGAATCCAGAATCAAATTCAAGAGTGTAAAAACCCTCAAAATTTTATGGGCAGTCTATCCCAAATATATCGGGCCTCATCCCTTACCAACCAGCTGCCTCTACTGTGGGCCTAGCTGAATTCATGACAAACATGGAAAAAGGCCCTCTTAATGCCAACAGAGAGGAGAGAATAAAAAATAAATAAAAACACTATCTATATATATGATGGATTTTACATTCAGCATTTCAATTATTGTATGTAAATTTTCTATATTCAGGAAATGTTATTTAATTTTAAAGATTGCATTTATACATTTTAAATATAAGCCATTGACTGGAAAAGTACTCAGACGAATTTTATTTTATAGATGAGACTAATTCTGCAATCATTTTATCATTATTACATATTATTATTATTCTATAATCAAATTATTTATTTCATTTCATAAAATTATTACTTACGATACTACATTCAGTATTAAAAGTAGTAATTAATGCATCGTCTTCATGAGATTTGCTTATATCAAATAAGTTAACCAGTCCATCCATAGAACCGGAAATCACCCAGTTTTGTCGAGAAGAATGGAATTTGACCTGTATTAAGAAATTCACAAATTTTAGAACAGTAATTACAACAAACATAATTAAAATATTGATAGGGGAGTATCTGTCAGTGCTGTGTCTTTGTTACTAATTCATTTCTTTTTTATAGGTAAGTCTTTACTATTATGGCAGTTAATCCAAAGAGAAAGTCGTTTTCACCGAGCTTCAGGGAAGGAGAGACTAGTAGTAAAAAAAATCTTTGAAGAGCCGCGAAGAGGAAGAATTTGCATATCTTCTGGAAGGAGAAAATTTTAGTCTCGAAGAGGGTATACGTGTTCTGTTGCGTTTACATTTTGCCATGAATTCTAAAATCGATGAACTTATTTCTAGATTAAATTATGTATCCGAATGGTTAAAAAATTTGGATGAAGGTTTGGCTGACTTAGATAATAGATTAGAAATATTAGAAGAATTGGCTGATAAAAATTGTAGTTTAGGTGATCGAAGTAATGTTACAAAAAAGTTTAATGATATTACTCGTAAACTTGATTTTTTGGATAACCAATGTCAAATAAATAATGTCATTTCCAGTTTAGAAGAGGTCCGGGATGAATCATCTCTGGAAATGAAAGAGAAAATAGTTGAATTTGTTATGCGAGTCTTACAGATGCCCAACATTAAGACTAGTAGGGCAATGAGAGTGGAAAGAAAAAGGATAATTTCCCTAGATTAATTATTTGTATTTTTGTTGATTATTATGAAAAAATAAATTTTAAGAAACAAATTTTGGAATTAAAACCAGATGGTGTCTATGTAAATGATGACTTTTCTCTTAGATTGAGAAATATTAGATTTAAGCTTCTCAATTTCGGTAGGCAATCAAACCTTTCTGGAGTGCAAATGGTAAAAATAGTTTATGATAAAATTATTATTAATGGAACAAAGTACTTTTACGATGTTGACTGTGACTAGGTTAAGCCTGTTTCATCCTAGCAATTGTTGGATAGAGGTACTCTGAAAGACAACCAAAAACGTTTGAACATTAAAATTTTTTTGTTGTTCATTTGCTGGAATTATCACTTAGGTGTGAAGTGGTTGTTTTAGTATATATTTCCAGTTTGTGTGCCAGTTTTTTATGTCTGATAGGGGTACTTCTATTTTAGTTTGGAATTGTGCTGGTCTATTTAATAAACCTGAGTTTTTTGGAAGTATTTATTGCAGTATGATATTATTTTTCAACATATTTTTTAACGTATTAAACGTTGTGCTGGAATAGAGAAAGGTGTTTGTTTATTTTATATTATTTTTCTTTCTGAGACTTGGTATGGTTTTCTTAATAGAAATTCGGACTTAACTGATTGTTTGCAAGGTTATAATCTCCATTTTGGAAAGGCCTTTAAGTTACTTGTGAAAAGTCGTTATTGTGCAGGCTGGTTATTAGCAATAAGATCTTTTCCCCATGTGGTTGCTTATCAAGATGACTTTTTAATACTTGTTAAATTTGGTGCTGAACTCTGTAATATTTTGATATGTTTTGTTTATTTTAAGGAAAATGACTGGCAGTCTATTTTTGATACTTTAACTGGCTTGATATTAGATAATACTGTAATAGGAATGTATTGATTAACAGTGATCTTAATGTTAGGATTGAATTAGAGAATATAATTTCTAATGCATTTTGCAATTCTTTTGGTATTGTTTGCCCTATGTATAGGAATTCAAAAAACTTGATGATTGATTCTTGTGTAGAAAGTTGCTTCATTTATGTGAAGATTTAAATATGATTTTTGAGAGGAGTTGAGACTCAGTAAAGTAGAGCATGAAAGCGATAATAAAGAAAGGAAAAATCACTTATGTAAAAATTTGGAAATTTGCTAACAGGTTATCCTTGGATTTAATTATAATACTATTAATAATTGCTAGAGTTGAATCCAACCCAGGCCCTCTGCCCCATTCCCCACAACGATTAAGTCAATTGGAAATACAAAAAAGGGGGCGTGGCAGACCGCGCAAGGTAAACTTAAAGGACGAGGAGAAAAAGAATCAACTAGCAGAAATTTTAAGTGAGGAATATTATCAAATAGATGGAAATAGTAAACAACTCTCTGAATCTACGAAGAGTCCGAAAATTTATGAGTACTTCGAACCAGTAAGTGAACCAGAATCACAAGTTATTGACAAACCTCAATATACATTAAAATCCATCTATGATTTAATTCAGAATAAATTTAGTCAACTAAATATTGAGATTCAATCAATTAAATCTGAAGTAAACATATTGAAAGAAGAGAACAAGAATTACAAAGAAGAAATGAAAGGAATCAATCAAAAGCTACAGGAACTGGACAAAAAATTGAAAAATAATAATCATCTTAAAGGTATGTTTGAATTTGAAATTGATAAACTTGTAAACGAGAAAACTAAAAAGAATATAATCATTATGAACTACTCATTCAAATCACTAGATTACTTACAAGAAATTAATCTATTCATAAATAATGATTTAAGATTAAAAAATAATGAAACAGAAGGACTAATCAAATTAAATAATAGAGAAAATAAACCTATTGTCGAAATAATTCTTGATTCTGTTAACACAAGAAATGAGATTCTTAGAGAATTTTGGCGGTCGAAATCAAACTTAATTGGCGAGGATAAGGAAAAAATAATATTTACAGCCGATCTATGCAGACAATTGAGGTTAAGAAGGAAATATCTACAAATTAGGATTAAACAGGAAAAGTTAAACAAGAATAAAATAATAGTTAGAGATGATTATTATATAAAAGACAACTTAAGATACACGTACGACATTAATTCAGATAAGATTATTCAAATAGACCATTTTTTAGTAGTAGTTTGATCATAGATTCAGAGGAGGTAGGGAAAAAAAAGACGTAATATACTTAATACTGAGACAACCCAAAATAACTCGAATTTTGTCCAGTATTCTGAAATGAGTTTGGAAAATTGTGCTGATAAGGATAATAAGAATAATTTTACGTCTGTAAAAAATACCAACAAAGGCAGAGAGAATTCATGTATAAGTTTTTGGAATATTCAAGGACTTCGAGGAAAAATGTTCAGTAAACCAGTAAAAAATCATATAAAATCTCATACTATAAGTGACCTCACGGAAATCTGGATTGCTGAATTGAGTAAAGAAGATAAGGTGTTTCTAGAATGTGAAAATATGAGGTTGTACAGCGGAGATCAGAGGACAAGTAGAATGGGCCATCCAGCGGGTTGTCTATTATTGTTAATTAAGAGGAACTTTGGAAAACTTTTTAAACACTGCATAACAGAAAAATTTATTTTTGTGGTGATCGAGCTGGAATATAGAATTAATATATGTTGGGGAAAATTATATTTAGGAATTATATTTATCAATCTGTCTTCTTCTTCTGATAAAAAGTTGATATTAAATGAAATCCAAAGAAACATCGATCAGAATTGATAATAATTAATAACAAAATTATTGAATTTTCTAAGAGTAATTTCCCATGGTGTTCAAATTAATTTCAAAATTCCATATGTTTTGTGGCTGTAAAGATGCAAAGGAGCTAGCAAAGAGTCTTGAACTACACCTTTTACCTAAATGTACTAATGAAAAAGCTATGTATGTAGTATTCCATATAGCCAAGATTGATACAATTTATAGAAAATACAAATATGATCACAAACTCATGTTGACGTAATAATTTTAATAACTAAACAATAATAAAAATTTAATTATATTGTACATGTGTAAAGTAAAAATGCTTTCATTTGTAGCACAAATTGATCCTCTGTAAAGTGTATTTTCCAAGTTGTACTATAAACTTATCAGTCCATGTGATAGAGATCTTGGTTTAACTTGGGTTGATGAAGATGTATTTTTTAGCTATAGTAAGATTTGATTGTTACTAATATACATCCCTTGTAACAGGCCACAGCCTTAATACGAATAAAAACTGATTGATTGATTGAGATTTAAATATTATTATTGTTAATGGGAGATGTTTAGGTGATGAAGTGGGTGAATATTCTTTTATCTCTAATCATGGTTGTTCTGTTATTGATTTGGTCATTGTTTCTCCGTTAATTTGGAAAGATGTTCTCTTTCTTACGATGGATCAGTTTTTGGATTCCGACCATAACCCTTTGATTTTACGAGTGGCCTGTGGCAATGATACATTGATTTCTTTAGAGAAGAGGCAAAGGATTAATAGATTGTTTTGGGACGAATTTAAAAAGAATGAATTAAGGTTGGCTGTGGAGCAAATATGTGTGTCGAATAAGTTTGATTCGATGGAAGACCTGAGTAATTGTCTTTTTAGTTTGACTTGTAAGTGGGGATTTAATATCAGGAGACATGGGAATTCTTTTTAATGGTTCGATTCAGACTGTAGGATGTTAATTAGTGCTAGAAATAGAGCCTGGAAATCATTTAGGAAGAGAAATGATTCTAATGATCGTTTGCGTTTTGTTATGTTACGAAGTTTGGTGAAGTGGTTTTGCATCATGAAAAAAAAAATATATGCTGGTAAAATTCAGAATTAACAAAAACTCTTCTTAACCTGTTACTGGTGCATTCTCCTTCTTCTATAATGTGGGGCCGAGGGGGGAAGAAATTTAAAAAAATCGACGAACGATTATATGTGATATATATCGTCATCGTCTCCCTTGCCGTTTGGATTGTCGAGCGGCAACAATCAACGACATGTGGAAGCAGTTAAGCCAGAGATCGATGCTTCGTTTACAAACAACACAACCGTTTATTAAACACGAAAGAAGCTTACAAGATTACCGCGATCTTGGAAGTTCTGCGGCGGTTGCGGCCTCTGGGTCTTCCTCTCCTTTCCAAGATAGTCCCATTTTGAAGGAGTGTCCCTTGTTCGCGAATGAACCATTCCATCACGTCTCGATGACTCCGGGACGATGTGGTCGACTTCCGTTGAGGGAAAGATGTCGATCCGAGGTCGGGAGATGGAGACGAAGATGGGTGCGAGACACACACACAACAACAGGTCCGTCACTTGGAACTTTCGGGAGAAGAAGCCGTCGTGTCCTCGAATTTCCGGGGTTTTATCTGTTTTGTCTGATTCCCCATTCTGATTGGTCTCTCCTCGTCACCTGATGACAATTCGAAACCTTTCGGGGGCACGGGAGAGGTCAAAATCGAAGTTTAATTCGATCTCCAACCGGAGATGGTCGATGGACTTACATTCTTCTATTGTTTAAAAGTCTTCTATCGTCTAGCGTCGCTTTTTCATAAAATAAAAATCTATTTCTAACTAATATATATTTTTTTCTTTAAAACAATTATTTTCCGCAAATTTTAGTGAGGGTTCGGACCTGTCCAGAGCCTCACAATAAAATCGTAACCAACAAAAATAGCTATCAGTGCTGTGTCTTCATTACTAATTTATTTCTTTTTTATAGGTAAGCAATTTGCTTATTTTTTATTTATTTTTATTGATTTTTTTATATTTTATTGACAGATGCTCCCAAACTTTAACTTTAATTAATTATTATATTTTAAAATTTTTGCTGGATGATGAAATTTTCTTTAAAAAATAAAAAAAAAATGTAGTCGTTTCCAAAAACTTGGACAGGACTATGGCTACAACTACGGAGGAAGATGAAAAAAGCAAAACGTCGTGAGGTCATCAAATCCAAATTAAAAAAAAAAAAAAAAATTATTACTTTTTAATTGGTTTGTTTCTATGCTTTAAGGAACTTTTTCCAGGACGGCCACATAGCCTAAAAAGAAAGGTCAGGTCATCTGAAATTTTTACTAAGGAACATTTAGAAGAAATATGATCATCACCCAATTTTTTGGAAACGACTGTCTTTTTTATTTTTTAACTAGCTGACCCGGCAAACGTTGTTTTGCCATATAAATTATTTGTAGGTAATTTCTAGTGTAGACAAAAAATAACTAACTTATTGTAAGTGTGTAAGGATGTGGTATATGCGTGAAATAGGCATGGAGCACTGTGAACGATGAGGGAATATCAAAATAACAAATGGCAAACATTATTATTTTTAAGTTATTATAATTTATTCCTTAAAATTATATATCATTAATCAATTACGACAGTAACACTAACAAACAATATCAATTTCTTAATGCTATAGCGTGAACAATATTTTTTGTTAGCCCATCTTTAGCTAACACAAACAAACTGGATGGTTTACCCACTCGAGAGCATGCCACGTATAATTGTCCGTGTGAAAAACATGGTGTGCTCAAATCTAAGCCACAAATAGACATCGTTTGGCCTTGGGATTTGTTGATAGTCATTGCAAATGCCAATCTAATCGGAAACTGAATACGTTTGAATTGAATTGGCACATCTGTAGGTATAATAGGAATCCGTGGTATTAATATATTTTCACCTCGGAACTTGCCATTTAAAATGCTGGCTTCGATAACGTTTTTCATTAATTTTTGAATGACTAATCGCGTACCGTTGCACAGCCGTGGCGGGTTCAAATTACGAAGCAAGATAATCGGAGATCCAACCTTCAATTGTAAATTATGCGGTGGCATGCCTGGCAAATCCAGTGAGTTCAAAAACTCTGTGGGAAAATTTACAGCTTCGCTGGCATCGCAAACTGTATCAATAGATTTGTATGATACCAAGTTCCCTGGCAACAACTGTTGTATCTTCAGATTTAAATTGTCAACGTCTACATTTTTTGCCGCTAAAATTGCTCTTTCTGCAAGCCACTCATGATTTATGTACTGTGTGTGTACATCGGGAAATATTTGTTCAATGAGAGTATCTTGCGAATCAGCGATTGTGCAGAAATCGGTCGGTAATTTTACGTATCCAGTTTCATCTATAGCAACTTTTCCATCACCGATATTTAAGAGTTGTTTTGAGAATGTTTCAGCGGATGGATCTTGAAGCATTTGAACGCGCATATTTACTTTCAGCTGTAGTTTTTCAACATTACGCCACAATGGAGATGATTTTAAGCAAGCGTTGATCTCATCAGCGTATGTTGAACGTGGAATGACGGGAAGTGTTTGTCTGAAATCTCCTGAAAGGACCAACAGAGTGCCACCAAATAGTTTGTCGTTGTTTTTAATATCTTTCAATGTCCTGTTCAACGCCTCAAGCGAATGTTTGTGTGCCATAGTACATTCATCCCAGATGATAATTTTACACTGTATCAGCACGGTGGCCATGGACGATTGTTTTTTAATGTTGCATACTGCGTCAGGGTTATTTTGAATATTTAGTGGCAGCTTAAATACTGAATGAGCTGTTCTGCCTCCATCCAATAAAGTTGCCGCAATGCCCGATGATGCAACGGCCAATGCGATGCCATTATTTGATCGTATTTCAGCAAGAATTAGCGAAATAAGGAATGTTTTGCCAGTTCCACCCGGTGCATCCAAAAAGAAGAACCCACCTTGTCCTGCTGAAACTGCGAGCATAATGCGGTCATAAATGGTTCTTTGTTCGTCATTCATTAGTTAAAAAAAATGTTAAGGGTGAACAACCGTTATCACTTAGGGGTATGAAAAATAGATAGTAGCCGATTCTCAGACCTACTGAATATGCATATAAAATTTGGTAAAAATCGGTAAAGTCGTTTCGGAGGAGTAAGGTAACTAACATTGTGACACGAGAATTTTATATATAAGATTATTATTATATTTTAATTTTAATCCTGCCTTAATCTAAATTATTACTTATATAATTTATTATTGTATAATTTTGTTTGTGATCTTAATGTTCATTATATCTAAGCATTTTGTTTTTTTGTGGGGAAAATGGTATTGTTCCCCATATCAAGGAGTGTATCCAGTATGCATATTAAATAAATAAATAAAATTAATTAAAATATTGATATCAGGTCTTTCAAAAAGAATGTTACTATTTTAAATTATTGTAATTATGTTAATTATTATCCAAGAATGTTGTAATATACATTAAAACATTGTAAAACTGTCCAAGTTTTACATTTATCCATTACAATTTCTCTACACATGCACCTTGTGTCACATGGCACACATCTGACTGATATGCAAATTCTTCCTACACTCACAACACTCTTCTTACAGCAGCCACAATTCTATGGCTTCTGCAGATTATTCATGTCACACAATAATAAGTAATTTTGACTTTGCAAATAGCAGAACACAACATGTCTTCCCTGTTGTGGAATCACCATTTTCAGTCACTTATGGTGCTTTCTAGAAAGAGACAAGATATTGAAATGCTGCATCAGTCTAGATCACTGGGACCCCATTTCTTGGTCTCTGAACTTTTTTTGCTTGAGGACATCGTGTGTAGGCTATGAAAGTGCCAGACACGAGATCCCACATACAAGAATCATAAATGCCATTAACAACACAATTCCTAACATTCTTGCATCCTAATGTAAGTACATTGGAATGCAAGCATGTTAGGAGATAATTATGCTGTTGACTTGCCATGCCATAAGAAAGGTATGCTTCTTATAACTGAAACAGAACATGTTCTTATTTGTAGGAAAATATAGTTTAAATTGTCCTAAGGTCATCTGCATCAATCAGAACTGACACCAGCCATTGTTTCTTGATAAGAGTAAATTTTAAACCCAAAGAATCAGCCAATTGACCTAACTAATAATTGATCCCAAAGATTTACAGTTGCACAATAGATAAAGAGTAAATTTTGATGATTAAAATGTATTTATACCTTAAAATTATAACTTGTGAAACCAGTCCTTATACAAATATAACAGTTGGAAGGCTTATTCGGGTAATTTATGAAGAATTCATGTAAATAAATGTTAAGGAATAATATATATAAATTAATAATATAAAATTTTACGTGTATTCGTTATATTTCCAAACAAAAACACAAGTAAATCTTATTTAAAAAACTAATTTAATTAAGAACTAAGATATTTTTGTTAATTTTATTATGTTTGACAATGCAAAAGCTGTCAAACAGTTAAAATATTTAAAAATAAAATACAAAAATCAGTTTAATTTTTAATTTTATAAAAGAAAAAAATTACCTGTGTAACTTCATCAAAATGGCTACACCAATAACCACCCAACATGTCCACTTTTCTTGCATCCCTTAACAATTAAATTTAAGATTAAACTTTAAAAACTAAATTCAATACAACAAAATATATAAAATTCTCAATTACATAATTATTAATAGTATAGTTATTTTATAAACGACAATAAAATTAATCTATGATTAGGCTAGTTTCTTGATGCCAAAACAGGACAAGGATCCGTAACTGATAAATACAGGACCTCTCTTATTAAAATTTCATCAGAAAAATGTACGGTATATTCAATATTTAATTAATTAATCTTGGCTTTTCTTTTGATCATGGGAAATTCAAGAACAAAAACATTCTTCCTACAGAAGCTGTAGATCCTGGAAAACAACTGACTAATCCCATCAAATTATGAAAATCTTAGAATTCAAAATCATTTTCTTACACTTCATTAAATAATATGACCCATCTGTCAGCTACATAGATTTTTTCTTCATTCCATTTCTCCAAGTGTTTGATTATTATGATTTTTATTAAAGGCCGGATGGCCGAGCGGTCAAGGTGGCAGCCTACTGCCACCTTGACCGCTCTGGGGGACCCAGAATCAAATCCGGATGGGTCAAAGAATCCCCAGGAATTTTTCGGGGGTGGTCTGTTCGGATATGTTGGGGCCTGTCTCTCACCACCCAGCTGCCCCATTGTGGACCTGGCCAAACCCATAATGAGCCTGCTTTAAGAGATCCTCTTAGTGCCCACAGGGCGGAAAGAGTAAAAAAAAAAAAATCTTTATTAACACACAAATAGTCAACTTTCACATTTCTATTCATGAAATATGCTCCTTAAATTTGCCAAAACCATTCTGTATTTCTTGCCACCTAGCATCTTCCCCAGCTGTATCCATAGAATAAACAGTTTCCAACAAATCTCAAGTACAGAATACAATATAAATTAATAATACAGTAAATTAAAGACAGTAAATATGGTCAGCACCACTGATTAATTTGTCAGAATTTATAATGTTATTCTTTAAGTATTAAGTACATAAATGTCCAAGATTTAAGTGTTCCTGAGACATATAACAGGACGGCAACAAGTACAATCAGCTAATAGTCTACTCCTTGCAAGCAAAACTTTATATTTGATCTGATCATTAACGATACTCCTTATTATTATGTATCATTTTATATAAAATATAATTAGAGGAACAAATTAAACAATTCTTTATCAAAAATATTTTATCAAGTCTTTATAATAACTTTCTTAAGAAAAATTATTCATCACTAATATACTAGTATTGCAAGTTTGGAAATCTCATATATTTGTAATAATATGTGCTACGGTGCTACTAATTTGCATAATACATAGTAATTAGTAAGTAACTAGTATCGAATATTTGAGAAAAATTTGATTAACATTGTTGGTGATTACAGAGATTGACGTTAACAATTAATTAGAATATTAAAATTCTTCAAAAAGTTAGATTACAGAGTAATTTGGTCTCTGTATTAGTGTAATGTAATTAGAATTTCTGACTGAAGAGCAAGACACTCATTCTTGGTATTCAAATTAGCTTGTTAACTGTTGCATGAGCCCTTAACGCTGGCTATCCACTCAGCGTGATTATTTTGCCATCACCTGATGATTCATACAACAATGCAATTGCTGCCGTATGTGCCTACACACTTTGTGTGAAATGGAAGATGATTTGCAATAAATTATGGAAATTTTTAAAAATTACATCAAAACCTTTAATTTAAAATAAAGTTTTATATATTTCAATTTAATTTTTAAATCTAATATTTGGTTTCTTTTGCATCTTTTCAAAATTTCAACATTACACTGTATGTAGCATTAAGGACAATGGGTAAGAATATTATGTCACGTACACTTGGAATTCTGGGTGCTGCATGCTGACTGACTGCAACAAAATCGCCACACAAAAACATATGTTGTCCTAATACTTGGTCACCAAAGTACTTGAAGATGATTCTAATCAGAAGGCAATTTTACTGCACATGAGCAGGGATAAAGACATTTGAATCACCTCAAAATCATGCTAAGTGGAGAGCCAGCATAAGGATTGCATCTGAAAAGTATTCAAATACCCAGTACAAGTTCTTGAAAACAACAACTACTTTTACAATTGAATAATTCACAATTCTTGCATTCAGATACTCCTATTCTTAGGTGGAATCACTGAATTAAACCTAGCAATGCGATGTTTATAGGTATATAAAAATGATTTTAATATAAACACAATTGTAAATGCGTAACATTTATCTGGTACAGTTTAAAAATAAAAAATATATTAAAACCTGTTCAAGGCGAAAACTTGCCAAAACAGGAAAAAATAAAATTTGACACAGTGCAATTCCAGTTTACCCAGGTTTTACTGTTTGTGTAATATGTATAGTGAATATTCAGCAAATATTAATCAAATAATTATTTTATTATTAAGACTATTTTAATAACTTAATTTAAAATATTTACCAAAATAAAATATATGAATTCTGTTGCATTAATTCTGTTCCAGAACATATGTAGCTTCCAGAAAAATCAACGTCAAAACATGTTATTGGTTTGTTGGTAGCTGAAATATCTATAAAATGTACAAAGTAAATTCTCATATATTAAATTATGGTATTTCTTTCTAAACGTTATTATTATTATTATTACAACATAAGCTTCAGAATCTAAAAGTACAAGCATACATGCATTATGTAATTTCTTATTTCACAAAGCTGTAATATAAGCTTATTTCTCTCTAAATACTGACAATAGGACTGATGTTCGTACGAAATTTTTTCTCTAATTACACCATAGCTGGGATGTTTCCCACAGCAACATTCTTCTGCTCTTCACTCTCTGCCAATCCCCATTCAAGTTTAAAAGTGAACACAGCTTGATAAAAGAATGTCACAAGCAGTCGACTGCTGGATGAAACAGAAAAGTACACCAACTCAAATACTAAGGACATAAACAGCCTTGAGGTAAGGAACAATCAAATTTAATACTCGTTCATATTCAACCTTTTTATTTTCTTATTAAGCATTGTCACATGTATCAATAGTTTGCATCAATGGTTATGCAAGGAGCTGTCGTATCAGTATGGCAGTTCCTTGCACAATAGTATTGCTAGTGGGAGGAGCTATTGCATTTTTATAATAATCTACCTCCTATGCAAGAGATCAGCTTTGCAAGATTTTGATTTCTAGCAACTTGTAATGCTTCTTATAATACTATAATGTTTATTTTTAAGAATTATTCAACTGTTGAAAACATTTTTAAAATAATTACCTTGAAATTTCAGAGCTGGTTCCTCAACAGAATAACGAAGATCCCACAAACTATAAAAAAAAAATTTGTTTAGCATTTTTAAACAGTTATATTTTTAATTTATACATTAAATAAAATATTAAAAAATGTATATCTTTTATAATTAATCTTTACACAAATCTTACATAAGTAAATTTTAAATAATTAATATCCAACATCTACGACAGTCATGAGGTTCAAGATTTAATGGGATATGGCAATGCAACACAAGGTTAANAATTATTGATGGAAATTGCATTATTTCAAAACTGTAGATGACAATTCCTGTATATACTTATTTAATAGTTTTTCATTATTAGAATAAGCCGCGCAGTAGGCTATGGTTACTATGGATGCAAATTCTGACGAAATTTTGTTCTGATGAGTACGTCCGAAATCCTGATCAGAACAAGGTGGTTACACTATGCACATTTTCTGATAGTCAGTACGTTTCTGCTTCCGAGAAAAATGGACGAACTTGATGAGTTTTAATTTCTTGAAAGTCCGTTGATTAAGTTATTGTTGATAGGTGGTGGGAAAACAGAGCATGTTAACCACTTATTTTCCACAAGAGACGATAAGGGAGAGTTCCAAATGTCATATCAAGATTTGTGGAACAACCCGCAAAAGTTTTTCGAGTATTTCAGAATGAGAGATATCTCTGCTGAGAAATATCTCCATTGTGATAGTTTTTGTCTTTCATGTCCCACAAATACCTATTCTTGAACATAAGACTAATCAATTTATCAATACAGGTAGCCCTCGGTTTACGCCGGTTCAATTTATGCCTCTGCACAATTTGCGATTTTGCTGTGTAATTCCCCGATTTTCCCTATGCCAGACTGATTTTCATTTCAATGTTGACGTATTTACCAAGCTGTGACATTGTACAATGTCGCGGCTCGGTTTAACTTCGTTAAAACAAAGATTTTTATTGAATATATTTATTTTTTCTGTTTAATATTATTGGGTATGTATACATTTGCATTAAATTAATATTAAAATACTAAACGTTTAGGTACCCACGAGTCAAGTTATCAAACTTAATAGTCCAATAAGTGGCGTCTGAATCCATAGCGCCATTGAATTTATCCCGTATCAGTTCATTTAGGAAAACACCTTACAACGCAGTAGCACTTCTGGTGATCAAAAACTATCGTTAGTGAGACAAATCTACTTCTCGTTGGCCAGACGATATCTATCTCTCCTTAATTTTCCCGCTAAAACTGACCTTACATATGCGCTACGGCAACCGGTGGTCGACCAATCAGTGTCTCCGCTCGTCTGTAGCTCTACGTGGGTTAATGTATCCTTTCAACTATGGAAAGTTTGACGGTTGAACTTTGTGAGTTAGACAATGATTGGGAGCGAAGTGCGAATGTAAAAAGGAGCATAGTCGCATCCATTTGACCATATTCTGAAATTCTCAATGAAAGAAAANGGTTTAACTTGGGTTGATGAAGATGTATTTTTTAGCTATAGTAAGATTTGATTGTTACTAATATACATCCCTTGTAACAGGCCACAGCCTTAATATGAATAAAAACTGATTGATTGATTGAGATTTAAATATTATTATTGTTAATGGGAGATGTTTAGGTGATGAAATGGGTGAATATTCTTTTATCTCTAATCATGGTTGTTCTGTTATTGATTTGGTCATAGTTTCTCCGTTAATTTGGAAAGATGTTCTCTCTCTTACAATGGATCAGTTTTTGGATTCCGACCATAACCCTTTGATTTTACGAGTGGCCTGTGGCAATGATACATTGATTTCTTTAGAGAAGAGGCAAAGGATTAATAGATTGTTTTGGGACGAATTTAAAAAGAATGAATTAAGGTTGGCTGTGGAGCAAATATGTGTGTCGAATAAGTTTGATTCGATGGAAGACCTGAGTAATTGTCTTTTTAGTTTGACTTGTAAGTGGGGATTTAATATCAGGAGACATGGGAATTCTTTTTAATGGTTCGATTCAGACTGTAGGATGTTAATTAGTGCTAGAAATAGAGCCTGGAAATCATTTAGGAAGAGAAATGATTCTAATGATCGTTTGCGTTTTGTTATGTTACGAAGTTTGGTGAAGTGGTTTTGCATCATGAAAAAAAAAATATATGCTGGTAAAATTCAGAATTAACAAAAACTCTTCTTAACCTGTTACTGGTGCATTCTCCTTCTTCTATAATGTGGGGCCGAGGGGGGAAGAAATTTAAAAAAATCGACGAACGATTATATGTGATATATATCGTCATCGTCTCCCTTGCCGTTTGGATTGTCGAGCGGCAACAATCAACGACATGTGGAAGCAGTTAAGCCAGAGATCGATGCTTCGTTTACAAACAACACAACCGTTTATTAAACACGAAAGAAGCTTACAAGATTACCGCGATCTTGGAAGTTCTGCGGCGGTTGCGGCCTCTGGGTCTTCCTCTCCTTTCCAAGATAGTCCCATTTTGAAGGAGTGTCCCTTGTTCGCGAATGAACCATTCCATCACGTCTCGATGACTCCGGGACGATGTGGTCGACTTCCGTTGAGGGAAAGATGTCGATCCGAGGTCGGGAGATGGAGACGAAGATGGGTGCGAGACACACACACAACAACAGGTCCGTCACTTGGAACTTTCGGGAGAAGAAGCCGTCGTGTCCTCGAATTTCCGGGGTTTTATCTGTTTTGTCTGATTCCCCATTCTGATTGGTCTCTCCTCGTCACCTGATGACAATTCGAAACCTTTCGGGGGCACGGGAGAGGTCAAAATCGAAGTTTAATTCGATCTCCAACCGGAGATGGTCGATGGACTTACATTCTTCTATTGTTTAAAAGTCTTCTATCGTCTAGCGTCGCTTTTTCATAAAATAAAAATCTATTTCTAACTAATATATATTTTTTTCTTTAAAACAATTATTTTCCGCAAATTTTAGTGAGGGTTCGGACCTGTCCAGAGCCTCACAATAAAATCGTAACCAACAAAAATAGCTATCAGTGCTGTGTCTTCATTACTAATTTATTTCTTTTTTATAGGTAAGCAATTTGCTTATTTTTTATTTATTTTTATTGATTTTTTTATATTTTANAAAAAAAAAAAAAATCTTTATTAACACACAAATAGTCAACTTTCACATTTCTATTCATGAAATATGCTCCTTAAATTTGCCAAAACCATTCTGTATTTCTTGCCACCTAGCATCTTCCCCAGCTGTATCCATAGAATAAACAGTTTCCAACAAATCTCAAGTACAGAATACAATATAAATTAATAATACAGTAAATTAAAGACAGTAAATATGGTCAGCACCACTGATTAATTTGTCAGAATTTATAATGTTATTCTTTAAGTATTAAGTACATAAATGTCCAAGATTTAAGTGTTCCTGAGACATATAACAGGACGGCAACAAGTACAATCAGCTAATAGTCTACTCCTTGCAAGCAAAACTTTATATTTGATCTGATCATTAACGATACTCCTTATTATTATGTATCATTTTATATAAAATATAATTAGAGGAACAAATTAAACAATTCTTTATCAAAAATATTTTATCAAGTCTTTATAATAACTTTCTTAAGAAAAATTATTCATCACTAATATACTAGTATTGCAAGTTTGGAAATCTCATATATTTGTAATAATATGTGCTACGGTGCTACTAATTTGCATAATACATAGTAATTAGTAAGTAACTAGTATCGAATATTTGAGAAAAATTTGATTAACATTGTTGGTGATTACAGAGATTGACGTTAACAATTAATTAGAATATTAAAATTCTTCAAAAAGTTAGATTACAGAGTAATTTGGTCTCTGTATTAGTGTAATGTAATTAGAATTTCTGACTGAAGAGCAAGACACTCATTCTTGGTATTCAAATTAGCTTGTTAACTGTTGCATGAGCCCTTAACGCTGGCTATCCACTCAGCGTGATTATTTTGCCATCACCTGATGATTCATACAACAATGCAATTGCTGCCGTATGTGCCTACACACTTTGTGTGAAATGGAAGATGATTTGCAATAAATTATGGAAATTTTTAAAAATTACATCAAAACCTTTAATTTAAAATAAAGTTTTATATATTTCAATTTAATTTTTAAATCTAATATTTGGTTTCTTTTGCATCTTTTCAAAATTTCAACATTACACTGTATGTAGCATTAAGGACAATGGGTAAGAATATTATGTCACGTACACTTGGAATTCTGGGTGCTGCATGCTGACTGACTGCATCAAAATCGCCACACAAAAACATATGTTGTCCTAATACTTGGTCACCAAAGTACTTGAAGATGATTCTAATCAGAAGGCAATTTTACTGCACATGAGCAGGGATAAAGACATTTGAATCACCTCAAAATCATGCTAAGTGGAGAGCCAGCATAAGGATTGCATCTGAAAAGTATTCAAATACCCAGTACAAGTTCTTGAAAACAACAACTACTTTTACAATTGAATAATTCACAATTCTTGCATTCAGATACTCCTATTCTTAGGTGGAATCACTGAATTAAACCTAGCAATGCGATGTTTATAGGTATATAAAAATGATTTTAATATAAACACAATTGTAAATGCATAACATTTATCTGGTACAGTTTAAAAATAAAAAATATATTAAAACCTGTTCAAGGCGAAAACTTGCCAAAACAGGAAAAAATAAAATTCGACACAGTGCAATTCCAGTTTACCCAGGTTTTACTGTTTGTGTAATATGTATAGTGAATATTCAGCAAATATTAATCAAATAATTATTTTATTATTAAGACTATTTTAATAACTTAATTTAAAATATTTACCAAAATAAAATATATGAATTCTGTTGCATTAATTCTGTTCCAGAACATATGTAGCTTCCAGAAAAATCAACGTCAAAACATGTTATTGGTTTGTTGGTAGCTGAAATATCTATAAAATGTACAAAGTAAATTCTCATATATTAAATTATGGTATTTCTTTCTAAACGTTATTATTATTATTATTACAACATAAGCTTCAGAATCTAAAAGTACAAGCATACATGCATTATGTAATTTCTTATTTCACAAAGCTGTAATATAAGCTTATTTCTCTCTAAATACTGACAATAGGACTGATGTTCGTACGAAATTTTTTCTCTAATTACACCATAGCTGGGATGTTTCCCACAGCAACATTCTTCTGCTCTTCACTCTCTGCCAATCCCCATTCAAGTTTAAAAGTGAACACAGCTTGATAAAAGAATGTCACAAGCAGTCGACTGCTGGATGAAACAGAAAAGTACACCAACTCAAATACTAAGGACATAAACAGCCTTGAGGTAAGGAACAATCAAATTTAATACTCGTTCATATTCAACCTTTTTATTTTCTTATTAAGCATTGTCACATGTATCAATAGTTTGCATCAATGGTTATGCAAGGAGCTGTCGTATCAGTATGGCAGTTCCTTGCACAATAGTATTGCTAGTGGGAGGAGCTATTGCATTTTTATAATAATCTACCTCCTATGCAAGAGATCAGCTTTGCAAGATTTTGATTTCTAGCAACTTGTAATGCTTCTTATAATACTATAATGTTTATTTTTAAGAATTATTCAACTGTTGAAAACATTTTTAAAATAATTACCTTGAAATTTCAGAGCTGGTTCCTCAACAGAATAACGAAGATCCCACAAACTATAAAAAAAAAATTTGTTTAGCATTTTTAAACAGTTATATTTTTAATTTATACATTAAATAAAATATTAAAAAATGTATATCTTTTATAATTAATCTTTACACAAATCTTACATAAGTAAATTTTAAATAATTAATATCCAACATCTACGACAGTCATGAGGTTCAAGATTTAATGGGATATGGCAATGCAACACAAGGTTAATTTGCCAAGGAGAGTATCTCCTGGGAGGATTTTCTACAAGAAACTGGCCCCTATCTAGATGTTAAACACATAAGAAACTCTATTCAGCCAGTCCATTGGTCAGTTGTGAACCTGGGACCAATTACAAATGTTCAGTGGTTTTATTTACTTGACCACTGGTGGCCTTTAGGATAATCACAAGTATGGAGCCCCATTTAAAATAACAACATTAAAATATATGAATAAAAGCAGATTTTTTATCATGTGACTGGAGGGTCAGCACCTCATTGATGCCATGTCAGGATGATACCACTGTGTCCTGTTTGACACAGAAGCTGCAATGGAGAATTGTTTTTGTTCAAAATTAGATCACTCAAGCGTCTGCATGTGTAGGCAATCGGCTCTCCAAAACTATCCCTTATGCCTGTGATCACGTACAATTTTTCTTTATTGTCCACAATTGCATGCATAACATGATTTTCCCTCTGATGTCGTTTTTTGGTGACCCCACATCACAAAGGTCTTATGTGATTGCCACAAGTGGTAGTCATGACTTTATGGATATTTGTCAGATATATATGAGATAATGACATGTGATCTGCAACTTGCTATGAATTTGAACACTTGTCTCTAAGATAGCCTGGAGTGCTATAACCTTCAATGATTTAAATATGCTTGTGGCTTAATTTCATGCTTGAAAATATAGAAAAATCATCTTTTTGTCCTCCTGAGAAACACCTCAGCCATCCTGTCATTTATTTCCAGTGGAACTTATTTCACATTAGCCCATACTATTGCAAAATTTGAAGAGCTTCTTGTGGGAACCCAGTCAAGAAAACTGTTATGTAAACAATATCTCATAAACTAAACAAAGTATGATGTTAAAATTTGGCATGTACAGAGAATACATATTACAGGATTTTTCAGAATCATCAAATTCAAGAAATAGCAGTTATGTTCAGTGTAATTACATATGAAAAATCACCACCTTATGCATGTAATTCTGCAAAAAAAAAATCCCTGCATGTGATTGTGGGTTAAATGGATTCAACTTCTTGAACTGTGATGATTCTATACTTATCATAGCTCAAGAATTTAACTCTTTCTTGGTGATGGACATTTGTGTTTGTCAGTTTTAATAGAAGTTATTACTTAGGAAACACATGACCTAAATTTAAGTACGCACTATTTTTGTATATCTCCCATCCCATGCATTTTGGCATTGTCAAGGTCGCACACATGCATAGTTACTTCTTCTACTCAAGAACAAAGTAACAAAACCATATTTGTTTTTGTTGTTCATGCTGAGGACCACTACGCATCAGTTATAATGTTCAAAACTATTGAGCGGCCCACCAGTTGCGAAATATGATTGGTAATTAGGTTTTTAAATGGAAGAAATGTTCAACCACACAAAATTTATAGACTAAATGTGATAAGTGAAAGTATGGTGAGAAAGTGGGTTAGAATGTTTAACAAAGAAGAGACAATGTTCATGATGAGGAGCATAGTGACCACCCATCTCGAGTCAATAAAGACTTAATCACAATATTGAAGAGAGGATTCATTCCAATAGACAGTTCACAATTTCTTGGAGATTTCCGCTGCATGAAACTGTCACTAAACACTCACACTTCAAAGAGTTGTGTTTGAGATGAGTGCTAGAAACATTTGTACTTAAACTGTGTACTTAAAGCGTGATTAAACTGCTAGAAACAAAGTGTGAAAGGTTATATCTTACTTATTATTGTGGGTATTTTAGTTTTAGTTTAGTTTTAGCATTGACTTTGGATTGAATAATAGTGCATTTCTTTCTTATATTGTGTGTTTAGTTTTAATTATTTATAATTAACCCATAAAAATGAGCAAAAAAACAGAAAGGAATATTAGAAAATTTTTTTAATGTAAGTAATTGCAGACCAGGACCTTCAAAAAGATCTTTTAAATGTTGCTTATTTTATTTTTGTTAAAAATTAATGAGTTTTTATTAGTGTTGTAACGAATAGTATATTCAGCCTCAGGCCGAATACCGAATATTCGGCCAAGAGCGTGGCCGAACAGCCGAATATTCGGCTTGATTAACGCACGTACGAAAATTGGCGCGCAAACCGCATTATGGCAAGGATCCTGCTCTCTATTGGCCCGCTGTCACTACGCTTTGCCAATCGCGTTAATTCTTGGCAGTTGTAGCGGACAGCAAGAGTGTCATGGAAGTATGTGATAAAGGATGATATCAAATGTGGATAACGATGAAATGACCTACACGTGTAAATAACGGAAAAAGAACAGAGAAGGACCGCGAAGTGAAAATGTGAAAATAAATATGAAATTGAGTTGATAGCATAATCGAACAAGTCGAGGCTAATGTTTGT